CGTGAACGCGCCTGAGCGTCTATTACAGGTCAAAATTATAACTTTTAATATCTCATAAACCAAAGCAGCACAAACGAAAATTTTAACGGCACAAACCAGCACTAACGGAGCACTAACCATTCAGACTATTTGCTTTAATTTTGGAAGTGGGTGGGGTGTCAGCTTCACTCAGCTGGAAGTCTGGGCCTCCCTACTTAGGCTGCTACCCCCGCGACCCGACCCCAGATAAGCGGAAGAAAATGGATGGATGGATGGATGGATGGATGGATGGATGGATGCAATAATTTTCTGGGAGAATTTCATGGGTGTCAACACTTTGAGCCATGACTGTATAATTATGACGCATTTGCAATTGGGAATCTCTCGACACCTCACATTTGGATTTAAATATAATTTAGATAAGTTTACAAAATCATTATTGATGCCTCTTGAATATCTTTGATTCATGAGTTTGTAAATAAAACACCAGGAGGCAGCTGGTAAGCTTTGATTTTTCCAAAACATTATTAAACTGAAATGTAGATAAATAAATTTTAATTCACAAATTCAAAGACTGGCTTATTTTAATTAAACTAAACCGTGTTTTAAAGACACAGACTTTTATTTTTACGCTTAATAAAATGTTTACAATAATTATTATTAAATCCTTTTAATTGCAGGCCACTGACCAACAGTTAGCATAGATCAGATAGCTTTGCAACATTAAATGGTACTTCTATCACAGTGAGCATTGTGATTATCACTGGAAATTTATGCACAAATCAAATGTGTCAAAATCAGAACTAAAAAAACACATTTTACAACTTCAACTATTACAGACAGATATTCCTTAGGATTTTATGAAAAGAAGATGAAAAAGCTGTGAACATGGCTGCACTGCAACATGCTTCGACTACAGGAGCTGCAGCACTGAGACAAAAAAAAAAAACCTGCAGTCATTACTCGTTCAGCTCTCTTCAAGTGCCAGTGCCGATTACCTTGAACAGAACTGATATTTCACATTGGAAAATCAAATCGGAATCAATCATCTCAATAATGCGATGCATATTTTTTTTTTGTCCTGCTATTCTACGATGAAACCAGGCGTGTTTTCCCTCTCTCCCCCCCACCCGCTTCCCTGCTGCGCTCTTTTGTCCTGTGAACCCTTAAAAAAAGCCTCTTTTTTTTTTTTCCTACATACCTCTTAATTGGAAGGATCAGCTGGTCTCTCAACAAAATCAATCAACTTCTCCCAACAGGAGTCAGGGTAAGGAGGACCCTCTGACCTCTAAGGAAACAGATTGGATTCATGATGACAACTAGATTCTACTGTTTGGGTTGGTGAAATCTGGTTGTCTACAAATTTGTGTGGAGGTGTTGAAGCTTGACAGTGCTCAGACTGAATGTGGGAAGCTGCGACAGGGAGTTGGAGCAGCTGTTATCAGGACTGTGATCTCCATGGCAGCACTCATGAATGGTGGGAATAATCTGGAGAAGCTGTGAGCTCGACTTTTGGAGTAAAGGATCAATTCGGCTGTTTTGGAGTTTCCATCAGAGAATATGTACAGCAAGACTTTAAAGGCAGAAACAACAATTCACGAGTTCTGCCTGACCAAACTGTGGCCTTGATGCCGGACTTATCTCAACTCCTCCTGGAATGTTTTGAAAACGACAAAGATGCTTTGACTGTTTCCTCACCCTTCCCTTCCCCAAGGCTGTGGACATATAACAGAACCTCATATGAGCTGAAGATGAATGTCACCTCTTATCTGGA